ACACACACACACACACACTTAACCTTACCTTAACCTAATACAGAAATATGTGACAATAAACTTGCTTCTGATTCTGCAGGCGATGAAATCACAGGAACTTAAAGTCTCTGCAGACTCTGCTTCAGCCTCTTATTTTTTTTGAGCCGAGATGACCAGTTAAAATTAGACCCCAGATGTCTCATTTTTAATTTAGCAGTGCTTTGGTTCTATTTATTTATTCATTACTTTTAACTTCTGTAACTATTCTGTTTGAGGAAGAGTAAGAGAGTAAAGTCTTTGAGGGGGTTTCTGCTGATCGTTGACTTAGTTTATGGACGGAATCATTTTATTATGAAACATATTATTTGAATCCCTTTTTCACCATGCTGTATGTGTTATTGGATTCATCAGATTCATCAGTGGTTCATGGTTCTTCTTTATTAACTAATCATTTATCCTCTTTTAGTTCTTATAACAACTTTGTAATCATGTCTGTATTGTTTCACGTACTTCCATATGCTTTTACATATTTTATTGCTTTTACTTTATCTGTTTAATACATTTTCATGCAGCACTTTGAGCTGCATTTAAAGAATTAAAAGGTATTATGCAATCAAAATGTATTATTATTACATCTTTGTTAGTGGGTTACTAATCTAGCATTTTAAAATTTGCACAACTGAGGCCGATTAGACTCTTATTAGCAATTAAATGGATAACAATAATGAATTAATAATAATTTACAAATTTAAATTTCTATCTTTTGGCGAGATGTCATCTTGAGGGGAACGTGAAAGCGAGAACCACTTCTCACGGTGGCACATTCAACAGATCATCCCATCAGGATGCTCGGAAAAGTAATTAGGTTATTAGGGTTCAAACCATTTTGATGTCTGAACAAATTTCATCGCCGATTAGTTGTTGAGATATTTGAGTCTGGACCAAAGTAGTGGAAAAACACTGTCATACCAAAATCCAAACAGTTAATTAAAAATAATGAGGGAATGATAAAAATGTTTCTTTTTGAATGTGGTGTTAGATAGCGTGAAAGGTTGAGTCTTTACACGAGCCAGTAACGAAACAGTTGGGATGACCTTGAGCCGGGAGATCACTTTAAAAGTGCGAATGGATAAAAGTGGCGTGATTAAAAACGGGGGTAAGCGGCAGCAGCACAATGTCACTTCATGCAAAAAATCTAAGTTTATCTTTTCAAAAAAACCACAGAGACAGTGTAATGTTTAAATATAAATTTATATTTACATCGATATTAACATCAAGGAACAAGGTAAGAAAAAAACGCAATGGTATTTTACATCCTGTAGTTATGACTGTAAGTTTCCCAGGTGTGTCTTCTCTTTTCTTTAAGCAAAACACAGGCATGTTCTTAATACTTGTAGATCAATCTTTCATCTTCTTCATAGAGATCAGGATTTGAAATAAAACAAAACAAAACGGACAACTCCGAGCTACTGTTCTGAGACATAATGACATCAATCACGAGTCCTCTCCGCTCCAGATTCGACATTCTCAGGTGAAATAACCGTTTGCAGCACCACAATTCAACCGAGGGTGTAAGTTCTACAGGAAGGAAGAAACAATCACAAACAAAAAGGCAAAACCACCTCAGCAGACTCGTCTCTACTCTATCTCATACTGATGGGGGATATAATATATGCAATTAAACATATTTAGTTCAATGTATATCATAGGTTATGTGCAACAATAAAAGCACACATGAGAACTTGCACGATCTACGTCAGGAACTGTTTCTACGCACCGCAGAATGACAAACAAAAATCTTTGGATTGAGCATGTTGCCTTTCGAAGGTAGATTTCTGAACAAAAGCTTCACAGGAAACACGTTGAAAGTAAAGGCAAACTCAAACTGCCCCCCCCCAAAAAAAGAAAGAGTTATGGGATTTAAATGCTTACTACTGTTGCTTCCATCAGGATTAAACGTCTGTGAACAAACTAACAAACACAGTTAAACGCTGATTTCCAAATTCTCATATCTGAGGCTGAAATCAGCAAAAGCCAAAGCACAGAAATCTCAGGAGTGAAGCTCACGCGTGGAAGCATGAGATTCAGGATCAGTAAAAAATAAAAAATCAACCTCACATACTGATAAGACGTCTGGGCCCCTTGAAGCCAAACACAATCATGTGTCAACTCTTTTCGTATATAGGCATATTTTGCGTTTTCGGCAAAGGAAAAATAATTTATTTCAGAGAAAATTACTAGCTAGCACCTGTTCAGCTACGACTATGTCTGAGAAAACGAGGCAGCGTGAGAGAAAATCTACCCACACCGTTTACAAACAGGGACGCCCCGTCATTTACACCCGATGGTTTAACTACTGAAAATAAAAGCTGACCTATGACGGAATAAGAAAATTACACTTTTAAATATCAAGCCTTACAATCTGTGCAAAAACAGTATGTGACCTACAAAAGCATATATATATTTATATATAGTACATTTGAAGCTTATTTACAATTCATATTCACAGACAAACAAAGGAATAAAACGGCTCCAAACAAACGAGACATCACGTCTAATACTGCAGTACCGTCGCTTTGAGTAACTGATGCTTCAGCTTTGTCCTCAGAGGAAAACCAGGAGGAAGGATTATTGCTAGAAATCTGCGCGGCTACACTGAACGCTAACACTTCCTCTCAGTGTGTTTGTGTGAGCCCATGCAAATATCAATTTAATCACCGACTATACTTTTAATTTCTGCATCACCGTAAATTGGTGCAAGATAACCAAAATATCTGGATTTTAAAAATCACCTCTGGAATGATAAAACGCCCTCCTCCTGAATCTGTATAAATATAAGCAGAGTTTTGAACATTAATCAAAGTCCAAATGATCTTTTTTTAAAACGAGTTTAAAACTATGAATTTCTCTGGTTGTAATAAATCGTTCCGCTGTAGAAGAGAGGATAAAATCTGTGCTTACTGCCTTTCTACTGGTTCCCGCTTTAGAACAAAGATCATCATGGTTACCCATTCCCCATCAACAGCCCCCATTTCTCGGAGAGGAAAACACACGCACACACAAAAATAAACAGTAAATGTCTGCTGCTATGTGTCATTTCTTGGGTAAAGGCCTCTATATTGCCACAATCCATTTGATGTTGGCCTTTCCTTAAAGTGCAATCAGCCAACAAATAATTCAGTCGTACTTCAGCCCAGCATCGTCCTGGAGGAGCGAAACAATGTGCTACTGCTTAATGACATTCATCTGAGTGTCACAATCTGATGGCTCGTCGTCTAAAACCGGGTTCGTTTAGCAGATATTTCTTCCAAGGGCAGCAGAGAGACGGCAAATTTGAGAAAATCCCACAAGGTTCAGAGACGAAGAGAAGGAATCCCAAGTTTGGAAATCTGAACACAGCCCCGTGGTACATTCGACGAAGGAGATGGTGTCCGCACGCGTTTTGTCCGAGTTCGTGATCAATGCAAATGCCTGCCCACCGTCACTGGTTTGGTCCAGCGAGCTGTGCGTTTACTGAGGTGCGCACGCTGCACGGACAGAGACGAATTTAAAACTACAGTCCACGCGAGGAATCCCAGAGCTGTCTGACAGTCTTTATGCGTGTGAATGAGTCACAGTGTTTCTGATTTTCATGAACCGTGTGTGTCGGCCTGTCGATTTTTCCTCACGTTGCAGGACTGCAACTACTGGCCATGTGTCCAAAAGAAAGGAAGTTCACTCCCCCGTCTGGTGAGAGCGCAGCACTGCACACGGACACACACACACACACACAGCACCTGATCTTCCACACACTCTCCAGTGCTGCAGCTGTGTCCCGTCTCTGAATCACAGTGAGATAAATGCTTCTGTCGCCAGGTTCAGCAGTATTTCTAGATAAGAGGAAGGAAAAGTGCATAAAACGTTAATTTAATATTTCACTGCTGTCAAAACAGATACAAATATCAGAGAGAGATAAATTCACATTTTGTCAAGTTTATCTTAAAACAGCACTGACTTGCTCGTATGTACATTGAAAGGCTTATCGGTCGTTGTTCTTCCTGTCGATGTAAGTTAAAAAAAAAACCTTCGTCCTTGATTGATCCAAAAATCGATTTCTAAAGTTAATCAGTAACGAGTTTAACCTTTAACGGTCTGAATTAGACAAATAAAATGAATTTTTTTACTGGCAGGTTATATTACATCAGACCCGTCTCATATCTTATTTGATTGATCATATTTTGCAATCAAGCAGAATATGTAGAGTCTCACAGCTGAACTGAACAGACTTCATTTGTTGCTCAGTCTGTCAAACTGTTAAATCAAAGTTTGATCCGTTATTTTTAATGTGTGATGCAATAAGTCTGGTTAGATGTTTTTTTTCTTTTTGTTATAGTTCATGTGAAACAGTGCACGTCTTGGGACACAAGACAAATGTCATTCTGGTCTTCTCAAAGAGCATTCTGTAATACAGGGTATCTTATAAAGTATGTATCTTCACATCCATAGTACAAAATCTCATTATTGTGTTTCCACAGGCAAATTCACAGAAGATTTAAATAAAGGAAACTCAGTTAATGGGCGTTTTTATCCACCAGCATAATGCAAATATTAGGATTCACTGAGATAAACAGCTGCTACTCCTCCAGTCAGGTGTCATTACACCATTGCAGAAGAACTAAGAGCGATGAGATAATGCGATGAAAGAGCGACAGTAAAACCTCAAACGGTAAAAAATGGTAAATAACAATAGAGACAAAAACAAGGTATTTATTTTTTACTTCATTTTAAATTGAACTTGACTTTAATTTGAGTCGCTCCACACATTCAATGAATCTTTCCACTGAGGTTAAGTTTCATCTTGGTTTCCATACAAGTTTCGGTTGCACTTTTGCTTTCATTCACCAACCGACTTGTTCCACTTCTTTACGTGCTGATTGAATATGTGCACAAAAACACGTAGACGGAAACATGCTCTCTGTTTCTTTGCTGATCCACAGCAGAGGGAGAGAAAATACAAAGTTGGCAGCAGCTTCTTAAAGACTGTAAATGAGTTCATATTAGTTTATTATCTTATTTTACCCCCCATCTCTCACACCGACATTGTTATCAGAAATTAAAGCAAGCAGTAACATTGCACTTTCATACGTCAGGTCAGTATCGTTTAAACACAACTTGTTAACCTGTCCTTTGAGCACATACCTGATCAGGCCCCATAGGCATGCGTCCCATCACCATCGGGTTCATACCCATCTGTCCTCCCATCTGGCTCATGTGTCCCCCTCCTCCGCTGGCCGGTATGCCCCCGTTCATCATCATGCCGCCATACTGCCCTGGATTCCCCTGCTGCCCAAACTGCTGCTGCCCCGGAGGTCCCTGCTGCCCAAACTGTTGCTGAGGGTATGAACTGATGAAGAAGAGCAGCGGGAAGGATGAAGGGTTAAACCGTGTGCATTCAAGAGGAGAAACACTGAATCTGTCTCCTCCTCCAACACATGGAGGAGTGGTTGATGTGGTACCTGTTGCGCCCCATGCCTCCCTGCGACCAGCCTTTCATATCTGCACCTTGGTACATGGGACCGCCCTGTGGGTGCTGTTGCATCATGGGGTTTTGAGGTCCCAGACGGCCTGGCATCATGGCGTTAGGAGGACTGCCGCCTGAGGGGCCAAACGAGGGGTCTCCTTGCTGGCCCATCCCTGTTGAGATAAATCAGCTCACTTCTCTCTTCACAGACAACAGATCATTGATACAAACGATAAATAAAGATGATGATCCTGCAGCCTGCTAGAGATCTCTCATACTTACTATACCTTCAGTTTTTATATTTGGACTAACTTTAAAAAACAGAGACAAGGGAGAACCCTGCAGCGCACAGACTCATCACCAGGTGGCAGTACTACCATTGAGCACCCGGCTCACTGGACTCACCATAGCTCCCACCATAGCCAAACTGCTGGGGGCCTGGCCCCCCCATAGGGTTGTCCATGCCACCAGGAGCTGTGACGTTCGGAGGCGGACTGAATCCTCCCGCTGCTGCAGCTGCTGCGGCCGCCGCCTGCTGCTGCTGCTGCTGCTGCTGCATCAGCATCATCATGCGCTGCCTCCTCATCTGCATGGTGACCATCTCCCTGCTGCGCTGAGCCATCATCTGAGCATTGAGGAAGCCCTGCTGCACAAGAGAAACACATTCAAACACACATCTTTGTACGTGTGTACAAACTTTGCTAACTCAGATGATAATATTTTTAAAAAGGTGTATCTGTCATCTACCTGTCCTCCCATGCCAGGCTGCATCCCAGGCCTCATGCCAGGGTTCCCTCCTGGATTCTCCATCTTCATGCCCATGCCCTGCCGCGTCTGATTCATAAACTGAGGATGGAAAAAGAACATTTAACTGAAGATGAAGAAGCAGGTGTTACTCTGACCTTCTCCCACTTACATCAAATCTATTTACAGATAAAATCGATTTCTTATATTGATGATACAACATTTTGGCATTTGAAACACAACAAATCTACAAAATAGACTTAAATCTTTGTGGTTGCACAAAATAAAAGTAGAGACAAAGTATTTTCATGTAAAGTGTTGAATCTATGCACTTCCTCTTACCTGCTGTCCCTGCAGCCTCTGCTGCAGCTGGAGTCTCATGGGCTTGTTGGCACTCATCATCCTCGGCCTCATCATGTTGGCTCGAGGGTGACCCATGCCCCCCATTCCGCCCATTCCAGGGAAACTGCCCCCTTGCCCCATCTGTGAGAGCATGGGCCCAAACCCACCCTGCTGGGCTTGCCCCTGCATGGGGTTCCCTCCATAGCCGGACTGCATCGGCATGGAGGGGGGTCCTGGGTAGCCCTGTCCATAGAGGGGCTTCTGGTCAAGCACCATGGACGGGTCCTGTCCAGGAAACGGCTCCAGCTGCTGCTCTGCCCCCTGGGTCTGGAGCAGATAGGACACCAGAACAAAAAGAGTTTGTCAAACTTCTCTTTCTTCTTCTCTCTCTCTCTCCACCTTATTGATTAATTTCCAATTGGTTGGCTCTGTAATTGTCTTTTTTTAAGCAGCACAGATGTCTCCCTCTGGGCTCATCTTTATGCCTTTAGTGAAAGAACAGCCTGACCAAGGTGAGTCATGACTGAAATGACTAATGCAAAGATGAATGTCAAGTTCATTTTTGAGTCATGACATGTAGACTGATCTACTTTTAAATTTCCTCTGAAGGAATCTAACGGAACAAACAGGTGAACGTGTTGTTTAACCATCTTTTTAATGTTTTCCTTTTGACCTCACCTGGCTGACGAGGTCTGGGATTCCCAGGGCTCGGTCTATCTCCTCCAGAGCGATGCCATCTGTGTTGTTCAGCAGAGAGTCCAGCTGGTCGAGGAGCGCCCGCTCGTCGCTCTGACCCTCGCTGGTGGTGGGAGGCACCAGAAGATCATCTAAGGTGCTGCCAAACTGTCGTCTACAACACAGAGGAGCTCAGCATGAGTTTCACTTTAAACTACTAACTCAGTTCACTGTAAATAATTAGTTATCACTATATATTGCACTGACCTGCTGCCCTCCATGCCCATCATGTTATCCGGCCACGAGGGGGACTGGTTGGGTTGACCCTGCTGGGTAAAGGGGCCCATACCCATGCCCATGTCAGCGGAGCCACCTAAACCACAAAGACATTTCTTTACACAAATACGTATTTATACATGTGCTGTCAAAATGATGCAGAAAATTTGAATTGTTTTGTAAGATTAAAAAAGATATACATCTTGTAAATATGGATAATGTGCATCACTGTGCCTAAATACAGTCTCAGAGAGCTGCTACATCTATAGATGCTGCACCATCCTGGGTTTCATTCAATATCTTCACGTTCCAATTCTTATTATAATTTCCTCAGCATCTGGCTGGAACTGAAACGTACCCATATCCATGAGCTGTTGCTGCAGCATCGACCTGCCGCCTGGGACGCTGTTGGAGCGGCTGACCGTTGGCCCTGACATCATGCTCTTGCCATTGTTGTACTCCATGCCTGGACGCATCATGGACGGGTGTCCTGCTGAGCCCACAGGACTGGCACTGGAGCGGGGCATGCCCCACTCACCTGACCCACCCATGGGAGACCTCTGAGGAACCATGCCCCTGTTCATTGGTCCTGTTAATGAATAAACACAACATGTTCATATATCAGTGTAGAGAGCAGCGAGGGCCAGTGTTTGTCCTCAACATGTCTAAAATCAGTTTTAAAATAGATTATAACTAATTCTCATATAGTCAGGGATATAAAATTGGTAACACATGCTCTAATAATAACCAGGGGAGGGTTAGAGAGAGGTTACTTGAACACACACCCATGTTTCCAGGGTAGCTGTCCGGGCTGCCCATCATCTCCTGCTTGATAAGCATGGGGCGTCTACCAGCTCCTCCAGGACCACCCGGAGGCTTCCCTTCCATGGACATGGCCCTCTGGAAGGGCCCCCGAGGTCCTGGACCCATTCCTGGACTGCCTGTAAAATATACATGGACTCGTTGGTCAGCAGTTTTCCATTTTCCTCAAAAGTAGGTAGATTAATGTGTTTCATGAAATTAAATATGGGTGATAAGGGAAAAAAATATCTCACTACCCTCTGGCATTTTGAAAATATTGAAATCTTAATT